TCAAATCTCAGAACGGTTGCATTAGTTTCACAAACATTTGCCGACTGCGCCTCCCCAAGAGGGAGAAGAACGATGGAAGGAGGGGACAGAGACACGGGAAAGTGCAATATTGAATTCCCGCAAGGCCCGCGGGGTCACCGTCCTCCTGACAAATCTACGTTGCCGGGATCAGAGAGGTCCATGTCGTCTATATAAATTTAATAACACGAAATGACGTGACCTCCGGGAGACCTCGACCTCTTGCTCGGCACCCACCAAGAACGCATCAATACTGCAAAACGTTTGCATCCACACCCTCGTCCACGTGTCATTCGCGACGCTTCCGCGCACCGAAAATGCCGCTCGTAAAACTGATTTAAGGTGTATGATTTAAGATATATGATGGTCGGAGGAGAAGAAAAAATTGGCTCTCCGGTCGCGGTGCGGTGTGTTTAATGGAAATGGAGGCTCTCGGGAAAGTATCTGAACGTACCGGATATACGCAGTATATATATGGGCTTCCGCATTGTTAGAGAGGGAGAAGTTAATAAATGTTGTACGCTTCGCCGGCCTTTTTGCCAATGAGTACAATGAGCAAATGCGGTGCTGTGCGTTTAAAAAACGAGACTCTCTCTCTCTCTCTCTCCCTCTCTCGATGCATTCGGGTATAGTGATAAAAATCTGCCGCCTGATATAGTTTCGTGCTTCGCCGACCCGGTGTGCTTTTAGAGTGTTTCTCTTTTTTTGTTAAAAGTTCGCGTGCTCACAGGACCCGGCGAAATAGCACTTTCGAGCATGTATACTATGTGTCGCGCGTTAAAGCTTTAGACCAGCAAAATGACCGCACCCTGGTCCCTTTCTCTGTCTCTCTTTTTCTCTCCTTTAGTCTCTTTTAATAATTTGAAGCGTTATCAGTCGGTAATAATAGCGCGCAAAATAAGAAGCCAGCTCTGATTTCTTACTTGAATTCCGCGATCGCGCGTTTCTTCCTTTTGAAATCGATTTTCTATAATAAATACCTCCACTCGACCCGGGTTGGTACTCGAGATCGTCCACGGTACGATGTAATTTCTCACCGCGTCCAGCCGCTATGGATTATTTTATGCAAATGCGGAATTGAAAGTGGTGCTCGGCGCGCCGTCCCTCCGTGCCTTTCCGTTGGTCCGGCCTTTATTAATTCTTCAGATAACGCGACCGAGCGGAAGAGAGAGGAAATTGATGAGTGGATAGTAATCTAATTTGCTGTAGAATGTCTGGCGGCGCGATTATGCGCGGCGTCTTTTTAATAAATTTACATAGAAACAAGTAATATAAGACGAATCCGCGCAGACTTTAATCATAATAATCACGGCAATGGCGATGTAACTCACAGTCTGTAGAAAATGTTGTTCCAAAAGCACCAGATGCTTCTTGTTGTACAATGATCAATTGAAAATTAATTTTTTTCTTAGCAAAATTTTGCGAAAAGTCATTGTCTCTTTCGTCGAAAATTTTTAATTTTATATACGATACATCATCCATCGCGTCCCTCTGGACCCATTATATTTATGATCCCGCCGAGATACACACTGCCATATGCGCACCGCCGCACCATATTGAATTTGAGAGTGCGCGCCGTCGGATTGGATTCCGAAGTTCTAAAAGGGCGGCGTGGAAAAAGGGCGCAATGCAAATTTTATTTTCCTTCGCGATTTGCATACGCGTGAGCGACGATAAAATTTCATCCGTTTACATAATAGCGTGTCGTGCGGCCGCGTAAATATTGGAGCGGCCCGTGACTTATCCTCGAGATTGTTATTTTTCTTTGGTACCTACGATGATCGCCGATCTAATGTTAATTAAAATATCGAAAGTGGTAAAAATATTCTACTTAATCTTTAGAGAACTAGCTGGGAGACTACTTTTGAAATCTTACATCTTTTTTCGAGTAACATTATAATTTATTATATTCTTTGCTCTGACAGAAATATTATATTATTTCAGACACCACTGTGGCTCCTTGTTCTATAAAAATTAACTTGAAAGATTAAAAATGCTGTAATTTAAGTTATTATCAGAGCCACTAAACTGGAAATTAGGAAAATTAGGGAAACGTCAGAGAATTTTCTGGAAAATTAAAATTTTTGGTTTTAAAGGAGTTCAATATGCATAAGTACATCACCCATCTTCCAAGTTTTGGAATATTATTGATTAAATGCAAGCATCAGAAATATTAACAATAATTTCCATTGTTATATCAAATTACTCTCTCAACAAAATATTTAAGACAAAAAATTCCAAAATATTATTACAAGCATAAGAAAAAAATCATAAAATTTGGTTCGGAAATCAGGAAAAAATTATAGAGTTTACTCGCTTGCTTGTAACAACTCATAAAAAAAAATGAACGTTAGTCTATTTCACTGCTTTCTTACGCAGGAAAAAAATGTTTGATTGAATTAACTAGAATTCTGATGAAAAATAAACGATCCAAAATTGTAATAAAATCTATAAAATTTATGGTTAAATTTATTAAAATTTTAGTTGAAATAACCAACATTTAGTAAATTTAATTAGAAATCTAATAGATTTAATCAAAATTCTGGATTGTTCATTTTCCACTGGAATTCCAGTTAATTCAACCAAACATTTTTTCCGTGTATCTACGGAAATAAAATTGAAAATTGTCTTTAATTTATTGTATTATTTTTTTTCGCTTTTCCTCAACAGTATCACCTTATGAACAAATCTCGCTCTTAAATTTTTTTGTATTCTTACTTTCCGACAGTAACATTGCCGTCTGCATGGAACAATAGGCGCGTGGTGACTTCACGCACGTGCGGACGAACTCCCCGAGCGTCCCTTCCAGAACCAGAACGAAGCAATGTAAGCGCGCAACGAGTCGACTGCTGCAGGAGAGCGTCAGGGGGATGCGAAGGGAAAAAATAAGAAGAGGCGACGGGGGTGGCACGTTGTGTCCTCTTGAAACACGAGAACAAGCGGGTGTAACGCGCGATAACACCGCACGTACAATGTGCCGGGTGATGCCACGCCGACGTGGCGTCTAGGGAGATTGCCGGGCCAATAATGCATTTCTCGCCCGGAAAAATCCAACAAAGAGTACGTTCGGCCCAGAGATTTAGTCATTTAAAATGCATAGAGTTCATAACTTATTCCCGGCCGACTGCCGCGCCGACCTACCCTCTCCTCTACCCTCTCGTCGCGCGTCGTTCTACCCTCATCGACAACGTGTTTTCATGTGCTCGTGATTCTCGCGTTTTCTTCGTCACCGCGCCGTCTCTTCCACCCGATCCGGCATCCGCGC